AGAGCCTTCCTTGGTGGCCTCCCATTCAGTTGCCGACCCTGTTTAGCTTCTGAGATCAAGCTATACCACACCACCTTCCCTCTCAAACATTTAAAAGGTAACAACATATTTAGACATTGCAGGCAATGGAGCTATCACATTATATGATACTTTTAATCTGTCAGACTCTGAACAAGATGAGTAGCCTTGTTAGTCTGTCTGTAGAAGCAGAAAAGAGCCAAGAGTCCAGTAGCGCCTTAAAGACTAACAAAATTTGTGGCAGGGTGTAAGCTTTTGTGAGTCACTGCCCCCTTCTTCAGATACAGCTAGAACGTGAGTCCATCTGTCCTATGTATTGGAAAGTGGAGTGATTTAGGATGCTGAATGATATTAGCAGGCAAATGACAATAAACAGTTGAATGACAATAGTAGGCATGATTGGATTAGGTGTGATATACAGAGGAGTAGTAGGTGTGGAGAAATCAGCATTGATAATGAGACAGGAAACCTAGGTCTCAATTCAGTCCAGGTGGATGCATTGTCTTCTCAGTTGCAATTCAGCAGTCTCTCTTTCTGACCTCCCTTTGGAATTCCTTTGTAAGAGAACTGCTACTCTTGGGTCAGCAACTGAATGTCCTGGAAGGTTAAAATGTCCGTCCCCCCCCCCCGCTGGTTAAAATGTTCACACGTGCTGTTGTCATTCACCTGCTATTGTCATTCGGCATCTGCAATCATCCCACTCCTCCAACAGTGGGAGGGCTTCTAATGTCCTGGCCCCACTGGTGGACCTCCTGATGGCACTGGTATTTCTGGCCACTGTGTGACACAGAGTGTTGGACTGGATGGGCCTTTGGCCTGATCCAAAATTGGCGTCTCTTATGTTCTTATGTTCTAAGATATAAGGATAGAAGGACTCATGTTCTAGATGTATCTGAAGAAGTGAGCAGTGACTCATGAAAGCTCACCCCCCTGCCACAAATTTTGTTAGTTTTTAAGGTGTGAATAGGCTCTGAATGAAACAATTATAATCAGGGGTCTTGTTGTAGAAAAAGAGCTGCCGGAGCTCATTAGCATAACTCATTAGCATAACTTATTTGCATATGCCACGCCCCCTGACATCACCGGAAGTGACAGAAGGCCACACCCCCTGACATCACCGGAAGTGTGTCAGAAGGCCCGGCTACTTACCCTCCTGCTTCATCCTCATTCCCAAACGGAATGAGGATCGAAGCAGAGGGCGGGGTAAAGAAGGGGGCGGGGCTTCACCACGTGACCGCCCCGCCCCCTAGAGGTTCTCTTCCGGAGCTCCGTACCTGAGAGCTCCCCCCCGACTAGAGCCCTGATTATAATATGATACTTCAAATGTTTCAAGATAATTTGTTGACGGGGGCAGATTTGTGAAAGGTAAACATTTTGGAAGAGGCTTATGCAACTGAACAAGAAACGTCAGCAACATGCTTGGCAGCAAAATAGCCACTGCTGAGATGGCAGAAGATCTGTTTCTTCGCTCTTGTATTTGTATGCTAGTTTCCTGCCATTCACAGATCTTTCGTACACCCGATCTCAGCTACAATCACCCAGGACTTATGCATCTTGACTCTAAATGGCCCTTCCTGATAACAACCCCCACCCCACCCCCTGTAAGTAATGGCTGAGGAGGTTCTATTCCACTGTATCTGAGGAAGGGTGCTTGCACACGAAAGCTTATACCATGAATGAAACTTTGTTGGTCTTTATTTATTTACTTATTTATTTACTTAAGTATTTTTACCCCGCCCTCCCCGCAAGCGGGCTCAGGGCGGCTTACAGGGGGCATAGCCCATACATAAAATCACATAAAATCCAATAAAATCCTAACAGCATCACAATAAACAATAAAGTGCTTTCTTTTATCAGATGATCTTAAGTTGTTAAAGGTGCCAGTGGACTCAGACTTTGTTACATGAGCACTGTGTCACCTGTGCAAACATTAAAGAGAAACCAATGAATGAACTATGGCTCCAAAGTTGCATGGAGAAAGAGACAGTGGTAGAATGTGCATTTGTCTTTCCCACCGGTGTCCCAGCCTTTTGACTTCGTCTTCAAAAAAGCTGTCTACATTTGGATGTCCACATATGTTTATCATCCTTTCGGGGGGGCTCCACTATCATTTCACCTCCACACTGCTTTAAAAGAATCTTCTCCAAACAATGTTCTAACAAGCATAGAGAAAGGCGGTGTCACAGCAGCACGAAAATGATTAAAAAATGCAAATGCAGATTCGACCAGTGATGATGATGGTGATGATGATGGCAATGATGAATGCACAACACCAGAGGCAGAAGTGACTGCCTAGGGTGCCAGAGGCCAAGGGGTTCCAGGGGAACCCAAGAGCAGACAGCCCCATGGGACCTCCCACTCTAGTGCCACCACCCAAGCTTCTGGGCCAGATGGTGGCTCTAGGCTCATTTGGATGGGTGGTTGGCTGGTACATGACTTGGCATGGTCACTTGGTTCAACTGGCTATGTGGTGGCTTGGCATGAACCTGGGCCAGCTGATGTAGGGTGGCAGAAGCCCTGGAGAAGACTGGAGGAGTCACAGACAGTAGCTGTCCCTCTTAGGATGATGCAAGAAAGAAATCTGCATTGCCAGTGGAGAGACACAGCTGTGGGGTTGAGGCTTGGCCTAACAACTTAGCAGCTTCTCATATTGCAGAAAGGTATGTGCCATAGAACAAAATTCCGTAGCTGAAAGTATGCATGGAAATTGCTGTTTAGGGTCATTACTATGATTTCCCCAGTATTAGGAATCTGGGTTTCTTTGTGTGAAGAAACTACTCTCTGGAAAGAAATCTGTGTTATTTTCGAGTTTGGGTGCTGCTAGGCAGCTACACCATGTACCCAGAATAAAACTGTGTTGGTCTTAAAGGTGCCACCGGACTCAAACTGTCTTCTGTTGCTTCAGACCAACACGGCTCCCCACCATGAACCATAGTCATGTTTTTCCTTGGTTCTGCTGATTTCTCAAGCAATGGTGTTTCTCCGTTTCTCACAAAACAATAACTCGTGGGCCCTCCATGAAATTGCTGAGCAGTCAGGTTAGAACAGATAAAAGGAAATACTTCTTCACCCAAAGAGAAATTAACACGTGGAATTCACTGCCACAGGAGGTGGCGGCGGCTACAAGCATGGACGGCTTCAAGAGGGAACTGGATAAGCATATGGAGCAGAGGTCCATCAGTGGCTATTGGCCACAAGGTATAGATAGGAACTCTTGGTCTGGGGCAAGTGATGCTCTGTCTTCTTGGTGCTTGGGGGGGGCAACAGTGGGAGGGCTTCTAGTGTCCTGGCCCCACTGGTGGACCTCCTGAGGGCACCTGGTATTTTTGGCCACTGTGTGACCCAGAGTGTTGGAAGGGCCATTGTCCTGATCCAACATTGGCTTCTCTCATGTTCTTATCTTTCTTATGTCCTGGGAGGCTTGTTGCCAGTGAAGGTCACAGTGGAAAACTCTCTGGACCATCACTTTGACCCAGTTCCCCTAGCCCTGTCCCTCCTCCTCCTCCTCCTCAAGCCTGGGAAAGAGAAGGCTTAGAGGGGACATGATTGCAGTCTTCAAGTATCTGAAGGGCTGTCAGGTAGAAAATGGAGCGGATCTATTCTCTCTTGCTCTGGATTGCAAGACTAGATCTAATCGGTGGAAGTTACAATGGAGTAGGTACCGGCTAAATATCAGGAGAAACTTCCTGACTGTCAGAGTGGTTGAGCAGTGGAACAGTCTGCCTTGGGAGGTGGTGGATGCTCCTTCGCTGGACGTTTTCAAGCAGAGGCTGGATGACCACCTTTCCGGTATGTTGTAGGTATGTAGGGCTCTCTTTCGGCTAGGCTCTTGCAGAGTGCAGAGGGGGTTGGACTAGATGACCTGCAAGGTCCCTTCCCACTCTAACATTCTATGATTCTGTGATTCTGTGATTCTATGATTCCTCCCCCAACTGCAGGATTCATTCAGCGCCAACATGCTTTCAACCCTTTTCTGCAGCCAGAAGCAGTTTTTCTTCTAAAAGAAAGGGGAGTTGTCATCTTCAAGATACCAGACTCCAGATATGGTCCCGACAGATGTGTCCAGCGCCTGGCTTGTGTCCAATGCACTGCGATGTGGGCTTGTGTTTCGGAGCTGTCCCCACTCTCCCTAATTGGTCAGAGGCTCTGATCTCCCCACTTCAGGGCAGGAGAGGAAGGGGCAGCTTTTCATAGAATCATAGAACGTTAGAGTTGGAAGGGACGTCGCAGGTCATCTGGTCCAACCCCCTGCACTCTGCAGGAGCATAGCCGGAAGACAGCCCTACAACATACAGTTTCACTCAATGAAATTGCTGAGCAGTCAGGTCAGAACAGATAAAAGGAAGTCCTTCTTCACCCAAAGAGCAATTAACACGTGGAATTCACTGTCACAGGAGGTGCCAGCAGCTACAAGCATGGATGGCTTCAAGAGGGAATTAGATAAACATCTGGAGCAGAAGTCCATCAATGGCTCTTAGCCACAAGGTATAGATAGGAGCTCTCAGTCTGGGGTCAGGGATGTTCTGTCTTCTTGGTGCTCGGGGGGGCAACTGTGGGAGGGCTACTAGTGTCCTGGGCCCACTGGTGGACCTCCTGATGGCACCTGGTATTTTTTGGCCACTGTGTGACAGAGGTCCATCAGTGGCTATTAGGCACAAGGTATAGATAGGGACTCTGGGGCAAGTGATGCTCTGTCTTCTTGATGCTTGGGGGGGGTCAACAGTGGGAGGGGGCTTCTAGTGTCCTTTCCCCACTGGTGGACCTCCTGATGGTACTGGTATTTCTGGCCACTGTGTGATACAGAGTGTTGGACTGGATGGGCCTTTGGCCTGATCCAACATTGGCATCTCTTATGTTCTTATGTTTATGTAGAGTGTTGGACTGGAGGGGCCACTGGCCTGATCCAACATTGGCTTCTCTCATGTTCTTATGTTCTTAAGGGCAGAAGCATGCAACTGAAGAACAAGACACAGGAGGGCACAGAAAACAAACGTATTTATTGCAGGAAAAGCAGATGGTTACATGTGCCTTGAGAAAGGCCAAGAGAGGAAGGGAGGGCCAGAGGCTTTGTAGTTGCCTTGGGGATTCTGGCTGTCCTGGGATGAAAAGAGTGAGTGATTCGCAGTGCGGTGGGTTGGCTGTAGACAGAAAACAGAGGAAGTGACTTGGCGGGCTTCTTTTCTGTACCCTCATTGAATGTTATCTAGTATTGAAATAGTTTTTGTATCATTATTTATTGCCGAACACTGTTGTAACAATTTTGGAAAAATTTAATAAAGTATATTTTTTTTAAAAAAGGCACTGAGCCCCCTTCCCTTGGGACTGCCGGCACCATTGCTCAGGGTGGGAAGCGTTCATGCCAGCTGCGTGGGTCTCTGTGTAACCCCACAGTCTTCCCACTTCCCACTGCAAGATAATTTGGTCCGGTTGAAGAGGTTACCTTTTCCAGAGAGAGATTTCTTAGCCTTTGCCTCGATTTCCACAGACCATCATGCACTCTGTCTTGGAGGAGAACCGGTTGCCGTTACCCCTGCAGCCCCCGTACACAAACTTCTTGCACGTCCTGCTGGCTCTGTCGTAATAGTAGCGCTCCATGTGGGCCAAACACGGACCTGAGTCCATGGGCAGTTTGCAGACCTCTGTGGCCACAGCAGGCAGAGGAGAGAGGGAGAGGGGGGGGGGAGAGAGAGAGAGAGAGAGAGAGAGAGAGTACCCCCAGGGTAAGCGCAAAACCCCCCCCCCCCCCGGTCCAAAACAGTCCAGTGGCACCTTTAAGACCAAGTTTTATTCAGGTACAAGCTCTATTAGCCACAAGGTATAGATAGGGACTCTGGGGCAAGTGATGCTCTGTCATCTTGGTGCTTGGGGGGGGGGTCAACAGTGGGAGGGCTTCTAGTGTCCTGGCCCCACTGGTGGACCTCCTGATGGCCCCTGGTATTTCTGGCCACTGTGGGATACAGAGTGTTGGACTGGATGGGCCTTTGGCTGATCCAACATTGGCATCTCTTATGTTCTTATGTTCTTATGTTCTCCCTCCTCTGCGAGGATAGATCTGCACGTTCCCCCCCCCCCAATAGCTAGTCATCCAAAATAGTCCAGTGGAGCCTGAGCAGTGGGTGTTGCCTTCTGACACACTTCTGGTGATGTCAGGGGGTGTGGTATATGCAAATGAGTTATGCTAATGAGCTCCTGTACCTCTTTTTCTACGAAATGACCCCTGAGGTTGAGGGAGAGAAAGCAGAATCAGAGACATCCCTGGCACAGCCCGAAAGTGAAAGACACATTTTTTGGGGGGGGAACTGATTTCATGGGAGAAAATAGATGACCTGTCTTCACAGAGGCGGTTTCCTAAATTTTCATTTCTGCAGGGCTTTTTTCTATTTATTTATTTATTTATTTATTTTTGGGATTTCTATCCCACCCTACCCAATGGCTCAGGGCGGCTAACAACAAAATTTAAAAATTTATAAACAATAAAACAGTAATATATACAAGATAAGATTTGGTGCTACAAGTCTACATACATTACACACAATACTCAGCAACCTACATGCATAGCAGCAATGGGGCTTCCACAAGGCCAGCTTCTCTGTCGTTTCCCTGCTCTATTCTCCCTGCAGTTGCCTCCCCCCCTCCTGCACCCCACCAGGGCTTTCCCAGGTGTTTTAAAAAAGGCGGTTGAAGGCCATTATAGCATACAATGTTCCCTCTAAGCTGCGGAGTCTTGTGAGCAAAAATTCTACTTTGTGTGCTCCTGGCATTAAAGTTCTGAGCCAGCAATTAGGCTGCTGCATAAATCAGTTGGCTCTGGAGCCCTCCTTCCTGAGCTAAGACAAAAATGTGCCAGTTGGAGACTAAAAAACTGTGAGCTGGCTCACACTAACTCTGCTTAGAGGGGACACTGGTTACTAGATGTCCTCTTAGTTAGCGGAGATGTCCTCTTTTACTGGTGGCCATTGCTATTATTTAGCCTAAACAAATCAATTAAAATTGTCATTATTTAAAAACAAGGAAGGCTGGGAACATTCCCAGTTAGTAGCAACTATCACAGCTTAAATAATAAGAGTATTTAAAATGAGATTAATCATAGTGATCAGTTGTCTGAAGTAGTCAGTCGGTAAATATGTTCTCATTTTTGCTTTTCAAAATTTGGTAACTCCATTATAGCAATATAGCATTTGAACAGTGCATTAAAACGATGCGTGCACCAGCTTTTTAAACCATAGGCGTTTGCCCCCAAAGCAGAGCGTCGCCCCTGACGTTGCTGACATCATTACGTCACTTCTGCATGATGTCACCGCATTGGAGACACTGCCGCCCACTCACGGACCACCCCTCAAATCCCCCCACCGGCGTGATGATTGCGCCCGGTGACCCTAAGTCCGAGGCACGGGTTCAAATGAGAAATGATTCCTGTTTTCCTGGCAGGGGAACCATAGAATAATATAAACTATTCTTTCAAACACGGAAAGGCCAAGGGCATGAGGAGCCAGTCAACCCTAGTTTTATTTATTTAGTTATTTAATTTATATCCCACCCTCCCCGCCGAGGCAGGCTCATAAGAACATAAGAACATAAGAGAAGCCAATGTTGGATCAGGCCAGTGGCCCATCCAGTCCAACACTCTGTATCACATAGTGGCCAGAAACACCAGTGCCATCAGGAGGTCCACCAGTGGGGCCAGGACATTAGAAGCCCTCCCACTGTTGACCCCCCCAAGCACCAAGATGACAGAGCATCCCTTGCCCCAGAGTCCCTATCTATACCTTGTGACTAATAGCCACTGATGGACCTCTGCTCCATATGCTTATCTAATGCCCTTTTGAAGCCGTCCATGCTTGTAGCCGCCACCACTTCCTGTGGCAGTGAATTCCAAGTGTTAATCACTCTTTGGGTGAAGGACTTCCTTTTATCCGTTCTAACCCGACCGCTTAGCAATTTCATGGAGTGCCCACAAGGAGTCCTTGTATTGTGAGAAAGGGAGAAAAGTACCTCTTTCTCTACCTGCTCTTTCCCATGCATAATCTTGTAAACCTCGATCATGTCACCCCTCATTCGTCATTTCTCCAAGCTAAAGAGCCCTAAGCGCTTTAACCTTTCTTCATAGGGAAAGTGTTCCAACCCCTTTATCATTCGAGTTGCCCTTTTCTGCACTTTTCCCAAAGCTATAATATCCTTTTTAAGGTGTGGTGACCAGAACTGCACAGTATTCCAAACTCAAGAACGTCACATCAGCTATACTGAGGCCCCGGTCACACGGGCCAGATAATGTGGGGGGGAGAGGCATGGCTGTTCACCCCGGAGCAAAATAAAGCACGGTAGCCCAATCACACGGTCCCCCGAGTCTCCATGATTTGGCTGTTAGCTGGCGATCACATGGCGATGCTGGAGCGTGGGAAACAAGCGGTGTGGTACAGTCACACAAGTGTTTTGCGTTTGTGCGCATGCGCAGTTCTGCGGAGCAGCACTGCTTTCAGTTTCGTGTTTGTGCACATGCGCTTATTAAAAACATCTGGTTTGCGACGGGACGTGGACGGGCGCCGGATGCCACAGGATACTAGCGCTCCCGCGATCAGACACCCGCCCCTGCCTCACGTTTTCCGGATACTAGTGCACTTTCCTTGGTACTTTTTAACTCTGCATCTTCGGCGGGACGCCACGGGTTGGCCATGGGTGCGCTACGCTTCCCAGATGTTGCGGTGTGATTGTGCCCCGAAAATCCGCCCGACATTCGTGCCTTTCGCGCAGCAAATTCTCCGTGTGACCAGGGCCTGAGAAGGTCTATTGCATTGATTCACTAATGTTATTTAGTCTGTAGCTGCCATCTCCTCCAAGTCTGGAGATGAGTTGTAATTCTGAGGGAACTCCAGTCCCTGCCTGGAGTTTGGCGACTCTAGGATTCACCCCAGAGGACAGTTTGCCCCACGAGGTGCTGATTCTCTTTTTCCTAGGCAAGCCTTTTGGCTGAGGTGCAAGTGTGTGTGGGTTTTTTGCATTAGTTCCCCCACTGTTCTTTTCTGAATTTGTGCCACCTGTCTCGCGGTGGCACGAATTTATCAACATGGGCCTGCGTTCCTGTCTAAATAACATTAATGAATCAATGCTAATAGACCGTCTCAGTATAGCTGATGAGATGTTCTTGTACACTATGGCGGACTGGCTCCTAAGGCCCTTGGTCTTTCCATACTTGAAAGAATAGTTTATGTTATATGGGGAGGGGAAGGGAAAAGAGTTTGTAAGCTGCTTTGAGACTCCAAGTGAAAGGCGGGGTATAAATCCAATCTCTTCTTCTCTTCCCTCTTCTTCTTATTCTGTGGCTATCATTTCCTTCCCCCAGCTTCCATGGGTCTCCACTATGTTCTTTTCGAGTGAAGGTCTGTAGTACATGACCTACCGATAAAGTTCTTAAAACAGGTGTCACAGCTATGCTCTGTACTTCCCATGTTGACAAAACAAAGTTGGAACAGTTAGTTTATTTTCTGAAGGTTCTCAGGTTCCCAGAATGACATGACACGCTACGACAGCTATCATTCACTAGTTTGGCAAATAACATCCTCTCCCATCTATGATATGAGTTCAGAGTGAAATTGTACTAGAGATATTCTGCTGTTAAAGTTCGCTAGCTTTATGCCAGCCATGTTGATTGGTGCTTGGGGGGGGGGGTCAACAGTGGGAGGGCTTCTAATGTCCTGGCCCCACTGCTGGACCTCCTGATGGCACTGGTATTTCTGGCCACTGTGTGACACAGAGTGTTGGACTGGATGGGCCTTTGGCCTGATCCAACATTGGCGTCTCTTATGTTCTTATGTTCTAACCTAGGAGACCAGAGGGTATAAACTGTCAAAGGTTTGTTTGCTCTGGGCTGGCCATCCAACAGCTCCTGGTGAGACCCTGGTGACCAGTCCGGATCATTCTGAATTTCATACAGGTGCACTACTTTATGCACTGGGTTTGTGTTGCATATTCTGTGCAGAATATTCAAATATTCTATGTTTATCATTTCCTTCTATACAGAATATTCTATGCAAAATATTCAAATACTGTGTATTCTGTTTTAAAGATTTATAATATACTGGAATAAAATACTTTCGTTTCAGAATAATGGTCTCTCTCTCCCTCTCTCTACTTGATTCAGCCCCTTTGCAAGTCTCCATCCGATCAATAAAAGAAAATCCTGGGCCTCATCATCCCACAACGCTCGCTACTCAAGCCAAGGGAAGGATTGCCATTCCTAACTCCTGATACCTGTTTTGAACATACTGTTCCGCTTCATTTTTCTAATGTTGGAAGTTCCAGATGCAAAATGTCCTGTCTCAGACCTCCAGACTGAGTGGCAAGAGAGACTAGATAGCTAGATAGGCACACTGACCTTTCTTCCTGTATCTACCCTTCAGCCACTGTCCTCTTTGAAATGCAGATTGTGTTCTCAGGGATCAGTTTTCCCTTCCTCCTCCTCTCTCACTCTGGACGAAGACGTGCTCTCTACCTGCACGCACCAAGAGAGGGACATGCGGCCCTCTCTTGGCACCATGAGGCAGATGGGCCTCTCGCCATCCGCCTCCATCCTAGTAAGTTAGTAATCTATCAATCTCTGCTCTTTCCTATTCAAAGTGTACTTCACAAATAAAGAGAGAAGCATTTCTCTTCTAAACTTGCAACTGTGGCTCTGTGTAGCTTTGTAAGCTGAGTAACCTGGTGAAGTGACGCTCCTGTGTTTGTAGCTTTATTTAAGCAAAATTATTTATTTAAGCAGAATAAGTTGTCCAGAAGAGGGCAACCAGGATGGTGAGTGGGTTGGAATCAAAGTCTTACGAGGAAAGGCTGAAAGAGTTGGGTCTGTTTAGCCTGGGAAAGAGAAGGCTTAGAGGGGACAGGATTACAGTATTTGAAGGGCTGTCATGTCGAAGATGGAGCAGATCTATTCTCTCTTGCTCCAGATTGCAAGACTAGATCTAATGGGTGGGAATTACAAGGGAGTCGATACCGGCTAAATATCAGGAGAAACTTCCTAACTGTAAGAGCTGTTGAGCAGTGGAACAGTCTGCCTCGGGAGGTGGTGGAGGCTCCTTGGCTGGACGTTTTCAAGCGGAGGCTGGACGACCATCTTTCGGTTATGTTGTAGGTAGGTAGGGCTCTCTTTCGACTATGCTCCTGCAGAGTGCAGGGGGTTGGACTAGATGACATGCAAGGTCCCTTCCAACTCTAACATTCTATGATTCTATGATTATGTGATAAAGCACTCTGCTAACTAGTGGGAACTGGACTAACCACAGCAGTTAACCTCAAAACCTAGTGATGTATACAAAAGAGTGCAAACTGGAAACCCGGTTAGCTCGAAATTCTTATGGGGGAAACCTATAACCAGATGGCCAAGTGAGAAAAAAAGGCAGTACCGGGCTTAATGTTGGCCTCATTCCAGCTAACTCCACCCAGTTCTCCCGGTAAAAGGGGAAGGGAGGGTGTGTGTGTGGAGGGGTCCATCTGTGCTCTGGCTCTCTGGCTCTCCCCAGCCAGGGCAAGTAAAGTCAGCAGGAGCTAGGGTTGCCAGCCTCCAGGTGGGGCCTGGAGATCTCCTGCTTTTAACACTGATCTCCACCTGACAGAGATCAGCTCCCCTGGAGAAGACGGCTGCTTTGAAGGGTGCAGTCCATGGCATTGGACCATGCTGAGGCCCCTCCCCTCCCCCAAACCCCGCCCTCTCCTGGACCCTCCCCCAAAGCCTCCAAGTATTTTCCAACCCAGAGATGGCAACCCCAGCAGGAGTCCTGTACCTGGACTGATTTTCCCGCAGGCCTCCTGGCAGGCTTTCTCGGTCTCAAAGTTGTTGCCGTTGCCGGGGCAGCCACCGTAGACAAACGTCAGGCATCTCTTTTGCTCGTGGTTGTAGTAGTAACGCTGGAGTTTTTGTCTGCAGGGCCCCGTCTCTGGAGGCAACTGGCATCGTTCGCTGCGGACTGTGAGGAGAGGGAGGAAGGAGACCTGTTAAGAGACCTCGGTGGACTAAATTTGTTCTGCCGTGCCGGGGCTCCTGGAGAGCAGCAGCAGCAGCGGGGAAGGGGCCCTTTCCCAGTACCTGAGTCCAAGCAACCGAGGCTGCACCTGGTGAAGCAGCACTTCTGGCGGAGGGGGCAGTTTCGGTCATCCCTGCAGGTATCGTTGCAGGGGACAAGGGTCTGAACCACTTCGTTCTTGGGGCACACGCCAGGGTGCTCTGGAAGAAGAGTGGGCAAGAAGAAAGGGGTCTCCGTCACTGCCAGAGGCTCGTGAATAGGCGCACCAAGTTCCAGGGGGTGGCTGGAGATCTCCTGGGACGACAACTGACCTCCAGGCGACAGAGGTCAGTTCACCGGGAGGGGGGGACTGCCGCTTTGGAAGGCGGACTGTGACATAGAAGAAGAAGAAGAAGAAGAGAAGGAGAAGGAGAAGAAGGAGAAGGAAAAGGAAGAGGAGGAGAAGAGGAGACTGGATTTATACCCCGCCCTTCACTAACCAAGGGAGTCTCAGAGCTGCTTACAATCTCCTTTCCCTTCCCCTCCCCACAACAGACACCCTGTGAGGTCGGTGGGGCTGAGAGAGCTCATGACAGAAACTGCTCTTTTTCAAGAACAGCTCTTATCAGAACTACGGCTTGCCCAAGGTCATCCAGCCAGGTGCAAGTGGAGGAGGAGTGGGGGAATCAAACCCGGTTCTCCCAGATTAGAGTCCTCTGCGCACTTCACCACGACACCAAACTGGCTGGAATCATAGAGCTGGAAGAAATCTCCAGGGTCATCTAGCCCAACCCCCTGCACAATGCAGGCAATTCACAAATACCCCCCAACACCCCCAGTGACCGCTGTTCCATGCCCAAAAGATGACAAAAGAACTTTCAGGATCTCCAGCCAAACTGGCCTGGAGAAAAATGGCTTCCCAGCCCCAAAGTGGCGCTCAGCATTTCCCTGGGCATGTAAGAAAGGGCCACGAGAACTAAGCACTGAAGCTGCAACCCTCCCTGCCCTCCCTTCTCCTGATCTGCCCAAGTTCACGATATCCCATTGAAGACCCTCCCCTTCCCAGACCTCGCCCTCTTCAGGCTCCAGCCCCAAAATCTCCTGGCCACCCTAGTCACAAGCAGGGCTGCCAACTCCAGGCTGGGAAATGCCTGGAGATTTCCGGGTGGCGCCTGGGGAGGGTCTTCAGGAGGGCACGATGCCACCGAGCAGCCGTCTCCTCCCGGGGAACGGCTCCCTGTAAGTCTGGAGCTCAGTCATGACCCCAGGAGAGCTTCAGGTCCAGGTCAGGTGCTCGGCTCAACCCCTGGCCACCCCTTGGTCTTCCCTTCGCACGCCCTTCAGAGGGTCTTCAGACTTTCAGTCTCTACTTTTTCTTTTCTTTTCTTTTTAAAGATATGTTTATTGGGGTTTTTAACACTGAGTTCAAACACATTGTAACATCAGATCTCTGTAACATGAGTCCACTCTGCATTATTTTCTACCCATTTTTTCTTACTCTATACCATTTGTTACTTACAACCTGATCTTCAATCCCATGCAACTGAGCATGTATCATATCCATTTCCACAGCTTCCAACAATTTAAACGCTATTTCTCCCCGAGTGGGTACTCTATCCATCTTCCAGTATTTTGCTAACAAAATTCTAGAAATTGTTAAGACATGCAGCCAAATATATCACTCACGGTGCGATACATGATCACCTGCTATTATATTTAATAGATAGACCTCTGGATTAAGTACTATATTTACACCAAGAATTTCCTTAATTATAGTTTGCACCATCCTCCAGTAGCTTTGTATTTTCCGGCATCTCCACCACATATGGTAGAAGGTGCTCACATTCGCTTTACATTTCCAACAACTATTGGAAAGATTCTTCTGACATTTGGCTACCTTCTGTGGTGCATTTTATATACATTCTCTTTGTATGTCACTGCCCTTAAAAGTTTTAATTTTTTCCAAACCATGTGCCACTCATCAATGTTTATTGTATGACCTATGTCCTGCATCCAACAGACCATGGACGTTTTTAGTCTCTACCGAAGCAAAAATGGCTGGGGCACTTTCCTAGAATGTGTGACGAGTGTGCCCCAGAGCATGTGTGGGCGGACTCGATCCCTACGTCATGTCAGGTCCCACAGCAATCCAACGGAGTCCACACTTATAGAAAGGGATTACTTTAATGAAGCCATGAGTCACTGAACAGAATCACTGTTCAGAATAATGCTAGCTCATCGAGCTGGGAAGGTTAAAGCAAATTCATAATCAATACAGCCAATAGACATGGTTCCCGCTCGCGCCCAAAAAGCAGTTTACATGCCCAAAACCCCTGGGAAAGCAACGGCAACTGTGTTATCACTACAAAAGGCTTCCCACAGTTTATACTCATTAAAACCAAAGCAAAGCAAAGCAGACTTCTCCTCTTGACCACCTGTGACCTTGGAAATGATAACGTTACAGCAGGCATGGCTGGCGTAGACTAACAAGAATGCAACCATTATGAATATATGTGCATGGTTATATGAGCGGACGTCTAGAGGGGCGGGGAATTACAGAGATAGGTACATTGCCGAACTCAGGTACCAGAATGCATATAGGAACAATAAGAACCTTTGGCAGCTTGCTGACACGTCGAAGCGTTACCATAGCCAGACACATCTTGACAGTCAAAATGGAGAACACAGACAATTGTGCCCAGGGTTAGAGATGGCCCTGAACTCCCCTGTTTTTAGCATGGTAAGACTTGGCAACCCTATCTCATTATCAGAAGTAACTGCCTTTCAGGTATTCCATTCAGATTCATCAGTAGAAGGAAGGGGTCACACCCAGCCTGGATTGTGCACTCTGCCTTTTCCAAATTTTGCAACTGCTTTGCATTTACATGGCACTTTTTGCATCCTCTCCCCCAGGGGTCATTTCCTGCAGGAGCGCACAGGAGCAGAGCTCCAGCAGTAAAGATCCCAGGGGGCGGGCACATGCAACAAGCCCCACCCCCTGCTCCCAGCAGCCCTCAGTCAGAGCAAGAATCAGCCTGTGCTATGGAGCAGATGGTCACGGAACCTACCAGGGGAGAGGCGATCCTTGATTTGGTCCTAAGTAACACTCAAGACCTGGTGAGAGATGTAAAAGTGATTGCACCGCTTGGAAACAGTGATCATAATGTTGTTGAGTTCATCATTTGTACAAATAGAGAATTGGCCAAAAAGACTCACACAACCATTTTTAACTTTAAAAGGGGTAATTTCTCTGATATGAGGGGACACGTGGGGAGGAAACTGAAAGGAAAAGTAGAAAGGGTCAAAACAATTGGGGAAGCTTGGGATCTATTTAAAACTACGATCCTAGAAGCTCAAAAAATATATATTCCGCAGGTTAGGAAAGGCACAAACAGGTATAGGAAAAAGCCTGCATGGTTAACAAACAGAGTAATGGAGGCTGTAAAAAGTAAAAAGAATTCCTTTAAGCAGTGGAAAGCTAGTCACAGTGAGGCTGATAAAACGGAACACAGGCTATGGCAAATAAAATGCAAGTCTGAGGTCAGGCAGGCAAAAAGGGAATATGAGGAGCATATAGCAAAAAACGTAAAAACCAACAATAAAACTTTCTTCAAATACATTAGAAACAGGAAACCAGCCAGGGAGGCAGTGGGGCCCTTGGACGACCAAGGGGTAAAAGGAGTATTGAAGGATGATAGGGAAATGGCTGAGAAGCTAAATGCATTTTTTGCCTCCGTCTTCACTGTGGAAGATGAGAAGTGCTTGCCCACTCCAGAACCACTGATTTCAGGAGGGGTGTTGGAAGACCTGAGTCAGATTGAGGTGATGAGAGAGGAGGTCCTAAAACTGATAGACAACTTAAAAACTGAAAAATCACCAGGCCCAGATGGCATACATCCGAGAGTTCTGAAAGAACTCAAATGTGAACTTGTAGATCTCCTGACAAAGATATGTAATCTTTCCTTAAAATCTGCCTCCATTCCTGAGGATTGGAAGGTAGCTAATGTCACTCCCATCTTTAAAAAGGGTTCCAGAGGAGATCCGGGAAATTACAGGCCAGTCAGTCTGACGTCGATACCGGGTAAATTGGTGGAAACCATTATTAAGGAAAGAATTAGTAGGCACATAGATGAACAAAACCTATTGAGGCAGACTCAGCACGGTTTCTGTAAGGGAAGATCTTGTCTCACTAACCTGTTAGTGTTCTTTGAGGGGGTGAACAAACATGTGGACAAGGGGGATCCAATAGATATTATTTACCTTGACTTCCAGAAAGCTTTTGATAAAGTTCCTCATCAAAGGCTCCTAAGTAAGCTCAAAAATCATGGGATAGAAGGACAAGTCCTTTTATGGATCAAAAACTGGCTAGTTCATAGAAAACAGAGAGTGAGTGTAGGTGGGCAATTTTCTCAGTGGAGGGTGGTAAGCAGTGGGGTACCGCAGGGATCAGTACTTGGTCCACTGCTTTTTAACTTGTTCATTAATGATTTGGAGATGGGAGTAAGCAGTGAAGTGGCTAAATTTGCGGATGATACAAAGTTGTTCAGGGTGGTGAAAACCAGTGAGGATTGTGAGGCACTCCAAGGGGATCTGTCAAGGATGGGCGAGTGGGCGTCAACATGGCAAATGGGGTTCAATGTGGCCAAGTGCAAGGTGATGCACATTGGAGCCAAAAATCCTAAATATAAATACACATTGATGGGGTCTGAACTGGCAGAGACTGAGCAAGAGAGAGATCTTGGAGTTGTAGTGGATAACTCACTGAAAATGTCGAGACAGTGTGTGACTGCAATAAAGAAGGCCAATGCTATGCTGGGGATTATTAGGAAGGGTATTGAAAACAGATCAGCCAATATAATAATGCCCCTATATAAATCAATGGTGAGACCTCATTTGGAATACTGTGTGCAGTTCTGGTCACCACACCTTAAAAAGGATATTATAGCTTTGGAAAAAGTGCAGAAAAGGGCAACTCGAATGATAAAAGGGTTGGAACACTTTCCCTATGAGGAAAGGTTAAAGCGCTTAGGGCTCTTTAGCTTGGAGAAAAGACGACTGAGGGGTGACATGATCGAGGTTTATAAGATTATGCATGGGAAAGAGCAGGTAGAGAAAGAGGTACTTTTCTCCCTTTCTCACAATACAAGAACTCGTGGGCACTCCATGAAACTGCAGAGCGGTCGGGTTAGAATGGATAAAAGGAAGTACTTCTTCACCCAAAGAGTGATTAACACATGGAATTCACTGCCACAGGAAGTGGTGGGTGCTACAAGCATGGATGGCTTCAAAAGGGAATTAGATAAGCATATGGAGCAGAGGTCCATCAGTGGCTATTAGCCACAAGGTATAGCTAGGGGCTCTGGGGCAAGTGATGCTCTGTCTTCTTGGTGCTTGGGGGGGGGTCAACAGTGGGAGGGCTTCTAATGTCCTGGCCCCACTGCTGGACCTCCTGATGGCACTGGTATTTCTGGCCACTGTGTGACACAGAGTGTTGGACTGGATGGGCCTTTGGCCTGATCCAACATTGGCGTCTCTTATGTTCTTATGTTCTTATATGCAAATGAGTTATGCTAATGAGTTATACTAATGAGCGCCTGCACCTCTTTTTCTACAAAATGACCCCTGCAGTCTCCCCCCTCCCCTTACCACCTATATATCTCTGGCCAGTTTCTTCACACCCCCCATGCATCTGGCAAAGAGAGCTGTGTTTCTCGAAAGCTTATGCTCCAACAAAGTTTGTTAGTCTTCTTAAAGGGGCTACTGGGCTTTTTACTATTTTGCAGCAACAGACTGACACGGCTAACTCCTCTGGATCTATTTCTTTGGAGAGATAACTCTGTGTCCACACACCTGTGTTGACTGACTCCTCCCTTCCCAACGTCCGCTCTGCATACACAGAAAAGAATACCTTCCACGGGTTCCGTACACCTCAGCTCACATCCATAAGAGCAGCACTTCTTCCCAGGATGGCCGTTCTCTCTGCAGCTCTGATCGGTGCTGCACCGTGCCAGACAGATTGTAGACGTGTTCGGTGGAAGGGTCACCTTGGGGCAATAGCCTCCGATGGCTGGAGACGGAAAGAGAGGAAGAGGAGCCGTGGGATCATAACTGGTCTGGTTAAAGAAAGCGGAAAGGCCAAAAGATACCCTGACACTTGAAGGTAACCTTTTTTTTAACCCATTTTTATTGCAGAAGGGCGGTGGCTCCGTGGTGGAGCGTCTACTTGGCATGCAGAAGGTCCCAGATTCAGTCCCCGGCAGCATCTCCAGGTGAAAGGATCAGGTAGTAAGTGGGGTGTGAAAGACCCTTCTTTGCCTGAGACCTTGGAGAGCTGTTGCCTGTCTGAGGAGACAAGACTGTCTCAGATGGACCCAGGGCCTGATTGAATCTAAGGCAGCTTCTCAGGTATTCTGGTTTTAGCCAACATGAGTAATTTGCTGAAGTGAGCAAAGCAGGACGCGGGGAGCTTTTGATGCACAGATCTGTGCCCTGTGTGACCCCTTGGCCGAATTGGAATCACACAGTCGGAGTCCAACGAGTCAGATGAATCTGTTTATTGCAATGAGAACAGGGAATACAGGGGCTGAGTACCTTAGCATTTCAGCAATTCCAAAGCTGTGTTCTGCCCTAACCAGGAAGGGCAGTAGGTCTTATACCCCAAATGACATCACATTTAGTTTACACATTAAAGAGTCTCTAATTGGTACCAAGCAGTTAACATCATACAAGCATCATTTGACTTTAAACCTTACTATTGGTCTCTTCTTATACTGGTCATGTATGTCACTGATTGCATTTACTTATCTGGTCTGCAGGACAATGGGAACATTAGAGAACACTGGGTCCCTTCCTAGGCTCGCACGTGGAGAGCTAGCTGATAAGGGCTATGAATCACATTAAACTTTGCTCTTGGCGGCCTTGCAACTTCTATATAGCATTCCATTCTTATTGCATCCTAATTCCTTCTACGGAGGCTGCTTATACACAAAAATGCAGTTATAAAATATATGTTCTGCTATAAGTTTCTCTAATCAAAATCTGGATCTATTCTGATTAAACCTTTGAAGGCACAGTGACAATATACATCAAGGAGATAGTGTTAGAAATCACATTCAGAAATCACGTTCTTTCCCCCTTGTCCTACATTTTCTGTTTTCCTCCATTTGGTGCCGTGGTTAAGTGTGCAGACTCTAATCTGGGAGAACCGGGTTTGATTCCCCAATCCTCCACTTGCACCTGGCTGGATGACCTTGGGGAAGCCATAGTTCTGTCAGAGCCATTCTTGAAAAAGAGCCGTTTCTGTCAAGAGCTCTCTCAGCCCCACCTACCTCACAGGGTGTCTGTTGTGGGGAGGGGAAGGGAAAGGAGCTTGTAAGCCGCTTTGAGACACCTTTGGGTAGTGAAGGGTGGGGTATAAATCCAATCTCTTCTCTTCTTCTTTCCTGGGAATTTTGTATTCTGGTAACGAATATCCCATGTGTCAGGATGTGTGTCACTTCCATCAAAGGTAGTAGTCAAGTTGCCATTGCCAGAATAATTTGGAGAATTTATGCAGTTACTATCCAGGGCCCATTATACAAACTTTCAGCAACTGCAAAGCATATGAGAAAGCAACACCTGGCTCTCTTTAAAAAAAAAAAAAAAGCATTTATTTCTCGATGTGTGTTATTATACAATGGGAATATTGACCACTGAGGAGGAAGAAGAAGAAGAAGAGATTGGATTTATACCCTGCCTTTCACTATCCAAGGGAGTCTCAGAGCAGTTTACAAACTCCTTTCCCTTCCCCTCCCCACAACAGGCACCCTGTGAGGCGGGTGGGGCTGAGAGAGCTCGGACAGAAACTGCTCTTTTCCAAGGACAGCTCTTATCAGAACTACGGCTTCCCCAAGGTCCTCCAGCCAGGTGCAAGTGGAGGAGGAGCGGGGAATCAAACCCAGTTCTCCCAGATTAGAGTCCGCACACTTAACCACTAAAGGGCGCACTTAACCACTAGGGAGGAACCTAAGGGGCCGAAACGCATATGGTCTATTGGTCAAAAGTTTTACCCATCAATTGGACATGTATAACTATCTTCTCTGAATGTAATAAGCTTTAAGAGTCTGATATTTGGACTATTTTTTAAAACCTCATGTACGTTTTATTTGTGTATAGGCTATAATAAATATTTGTATTTTTATAACAGTTTGTTAGCTTGACCCTCTTAGATCACAGCTACATTTTGGGTTGAGTTCCCCCTTTCTATTCGGTTTTTGTCAGAGATCTTAGTTCCGCCTGTTGCCTGCCTGCTTGCCAGTCTTTGCCCTGATGTCCCCTCCTCCAGACTCAGGCTGTGGTCAGACGTGCCATTTGGCACGAAGGGGAAGCGCCCCTATTTCCTCTGGAGGGATTTGACCTGCAGTCACGCGGTCACACATCAGCCCATCACTGCGCGATCAGGTGGCACCTCGGGCGAGTGGTTCCCCCCCCTTTCGTTTCCCATGTGCATAAATGAGGAATCGAACCTCCGTGCAGAGGGTTCCCCTTGGAGTATGTGGTTATGCTCATACTGCTAAGCTCGGGGGGGGGGAATGACATTGTTTCAGGATGGAATGAGCAGACCATCCTGATGGCTTGAGAGCATGCTTGAGCGATAAGACTAGGGAAAATCTGTTCATGGCCCATCGGCAAGTGTATGACACCAGACTTTCCGGGTGTCTTTTAACTCCGTTTCTGCGGCAGGGCAGCACAGGGTGCCAACGACTGCGGGACTTTTCCCAGCTGTTGTGCCTGACCATGCCCTTTAGATCCATCAGGGATTTGCACCTATGTCAGATCTAAAGGTACGTCTCACTGCAGCCAGAGTTGGAGTAGGAAAGGGACGAACAGAAATAATCTGACTGTCAAATTTCTAATCTTAATATATAAACTGAGCATACCGATATTCTTATTTATTTATTTATATTTACAGTTATAGCCTGCCCTCCCCGCCATTTGGCAGGCTCAGGCAGCTAACAACATATATAAAAATACATTAAAATTCCATAAAAACTGTCAATCAATATAAAATCATACAATTTATATTAAAAGATGGAGAATCTTCCTATCTTGACTGTCAACTGAACACTGTCTTAGTGTAAAAACACCACCCCCTACAGATGGATACTCTCTGTTCTTGTTAATGTCAGATATTCAGCTTTGGTCAGTTTTAACGGCCCTCGCAATCACTGAAGCCGTTTGCTGCTATTTATTACAAGTGACAGCATGTATTCTGTATTACATGTATTCTGTATTACAACTGACGGCATGTATTACAAGTGACGGCATGTATTCTGTATTACATGTATTCTGTATTACAACTGACGACATGTATTACAAGTGACGGCATGTATTCTGTATTACATGCATTCTGTATTACAACTGACAGCATGTATTACAAGTGACGGCATGTATTCTGTATTACATGTATTCTGTATTACAACTGACGGCATGTATTACAAGTGACGGCATGTATTCTGTATTACATGTATTCTGTATTACAACTGACGGCATGTATCACAAGTGACGGCATGTATTCTGTATTACAACTGATGGCATGTATTACAAGTGACGGCATGTATTCTGTATTACATGTATTCTGTATTACAAGTGACAGCATGTATTACAAGTGATGGCATGTATTCTGAATGCATGCTGAGAGACATTGCTGCCACCTGCACTGGGCGTACCCGTTTCCCTTACATTCAGAAGGAAGGCGGCATTCGTGTGCACATCTGGTCCTGCAGCACTTCTCCTGCCCCGGGCAGCTGCGATCCGTGGAGCAGAAGCGGCCACACATCTGGTCCGGCCATTGAATCAGTGCAGGGCATGTCCCCGCCTTGTCTGGAACAGAAAAAAACAACACATGGCACACGGATTACCATTCAGGGCCCTGCATGGCTGCTGACAAGCCAGGCATCTCCCTGCATGGGAAATAAGCAGAGGGACAAATTAGGGATGCCAGCCTCCAGGTAGGACCTGGAGATCCTCCAGAATTACAGCCAATCTCCAGTTCCCCGGGAGAAAATGGATGCTTTGGAAAGTGGACTCTGTGGCTTTGTACCCCACTGTCCCCCCCAGGTTCCACCCCCCTTCCAATCTCCAGGAGCTTTCCAGCTTGGATCTGGCAATCCCTCCCCCCATCCCCTGCGGGTGGCCAGGGAGTATTTGGGAACCCTGCTTCCAACTGGAACCAGAACAAAATAACAAGACTCAAATCTTTCCTCCCCTCCCCTTTCACGCCTTACACCGAAGAAAATTCTTAGATGGACACTGAACAAGGGCAAGAGACGACAAGGACCTTATTGAGGACCAACTTCCTCCACCTGGGATGGAGCTTATTCCAGGTGGAGGCGGCTGAGGGACATGAGTAGAATGTTTGCCCACCCCATCCCAAATGCCCAGCAGGGAGGTACCAAAATGCCAATGTACAAGGAGGAGTCATTGCCAGTCGTAGCCCTCCGCTGGAGCTCTTTGGACAATCCTTGAGAGCAAGATCGGTATGAACAACATTTTGCTAAGAAATGCAATGATGGAGAAAAGAGGAGCTCCTCTCCTAGAATCATAGAATGTTAGAGTTGGAAGGGACCTTGCAGGTCATCTAGTCCAACCCCCTGCACTCTGCAGGAGCATAGCCGAAAGAGAGCCCTACATACCTACAACATACCCAAAAGATGGTCGTCCAGCCTCCGCTTGAAAACGTCCAGCGAAGGAGCATCCACCACCTCCCAAGGCAGACTGTTCCACAGCTCAACCACTCTTACAATCAGGAGGTTTCTCCTGATATTTAGCCGATAACGACTCCCTTGTCATTTCCACCCATTAGACCTAGTCTTGCAATCCGGAGCAAGAGAGAACAGATCCGCTCCCTCTTCTACATGACAGCCCTTCAGATACTTGAAGACTGCAATCATGTCCCCTCTGAGCCTTCTCTTCCCCCAGGCTAACCAGACCCACCTCTTTCAGCCTTTCCTCATAAGACTTGGATTCCAACCCTCTGACCATCCTGGTTGCCCTCTTCTGGACACGCTCGAGCTTGTCAACATCCTTCCTAAAATGTGGTGCCCAAAACTGGACACTGGACTCCAGGTGAGGTCTGACCAGAGCAGAATAGAGCGGAACGACCACCTCCCGTGATCTGGACACCATGCTCCAGGAATTTCGGTATATGTTGGCGCAGAGAGGGCCACTACGATTCCAACAAGGAGAAGGGAGCTGGATGGCTCCATGCTGTGGCCAGTTTGATTGACGAACATGCAGTCAAGGGCTGTTTCCAGAGGTTCCTTTGCACAGCAAAGCCCAACCCTGAACAGGCAATTGAGAAGTGGGGTGTGTGGGGGAGGGGGGAGTCTGTGTGGTGGGGTGAATCTGAGATCCACTTGGAGGAGCAATTTCGTGGCTTAGAAATCAGCCTTAATAGGGCAGATCTTCCATTAACAGCTGTTTCCCTGCTCAGAAGTGAAAAGGACCCCCCCCACTTTCTCCCATACCTTTTGAAATGGGGAAAAGGGAGCTCCCACACACACACGCGCACACCAAGGCAAGGGTCACTTGGAATGCCAGGTGTAGGTGGGGGCATCCCATTCCTCCCCAGGTTGGACATCTTCCGGAAGTGAACTTCTGGGCTGTGGTGGACCTGCTCAATTCCCTGCAGGAGGGAGGATGCATGGGTGGAGGTTGGGAGGGGGGGCTTGGGACCATGATACCTGAGCACAGCACCATCATCCCCACTCCACAGACCATCCTCGGCCATTCACCACCCTAGTGGGGAAATCAGGGGGTACCAAAGTGCTTCCCCACGTGCCGCACCCATCAAGAATGCCCAGGGTTGTCCTTGCCTCTCTCAAGAGAGTTGCTGTGGCCAGGGCTGGTTCCTTCATAAGGTGGGGTTAGGCAATTGCCTAGGGGCACCGTCCTATGAGGGCGCCCCGCCAGCCTGCTGCCCCCCTCCCCCGCTGTGTCAAGACAGGAGGACGTCTCCTGATCCCACAGCAGTCAGCCAGTTGTGGAGACTCTGAGAGTTGAGGGGGCAGTTGAGGGGGTTGCCAATTTGGGAAATTCATTTGGGGGTGGAGCTCTGGAAGGGGTAGGGTTTGGGGGGGGTAGGCACCTCAGTGTGGTATGGTGCCATAGAGTCCACTCGCCAACCCTGCCATTTTCTCCAGGGGGACTGATCGCTGTCATCTGGAGATAAGTTTTAATTCTGGGAGATCTCCAGGCCTCACCTGGAGGTTAGCAAACGTAGTGGTTAGCCATTTTGGATCCCCCTCCCCAACTGTGGAGCTTTTCTTCCTGTATTTGAGGCATCCATCTGGGGCTCAGTTTTGTCTTCCTGGTAGGGTTCCCAACTCCAGGGCAATTCCTGGAGATTTAGGGGTGGAGCCTTGGGGAGGGACCTCAGTGAGGTACAATGCCATTGAGTCCCCTCCAAAGCAGCCATTTTCTCCAGGGGAGCTGGTCTCTGTGGTCTGGAGATCAGTTAAGAACATAAGAACATAAGAGAAGCAGTGTTGCATCAGGCCAATGGCCCCTCCAGTCCAACACTCTGTGTCACACAGTGGCCAAAAATACCAGGTGCCGTCAGGAGGTCCACCAGCGGGGCCGGAACTCTAGAAGCATCACTTGCCCCAGACTGGGAGTTCCTATCTATACCTTGTGCTTCATAGCCACTGATGGACCTCTGCTCCATATGTTCATCCAGTTCCCCCTTATAAGAACATAAGAGAAGCCAGTGTTGGATCAGGCCAATGGCCCCTCCAGTCCAACACTCTGTGTCACACAGTGGCCAGAAATACCAGGTGCCATCAGGAGGTCCACCAGCGGGGCCGGAACTCTAGAAGCCCTCCCACTCTTGCCCCCCCAACCACCAAGAGTACAGTGCATCCCTTGCCCCAGAGCCCCTATCTATACCTTGTGGCTAATAGCCACTGATGGACCTCTGCTCCATGTGCTTATCCAATTCCCTCTTGAAGCTGTCCATGCTTGTAGCCGCCACCACCTCCTGTGGCAGTGAATTCCATGTGTTCATCACTCTTTGGGTGAAGAAATACATTCTAAGAGATCTCCAGGCCTTACCTTGAGGCTGGCAACTGTACTTCCTCGCCACTAGCAAAGCAGGTTGTGTTTGTGCCTCTTTTACAGCCAGAAGTGCAGCAGAGGGGCCAGACTACGCTTATCCCACAAGGTCAGAATCTGGGGTTTTGTCAGTGGCTAGAAGGTGGGGCAGTGAAGGCATCTCTTGCTGAAAGTTCCAGGTGCGAGGCCCCTGTGTCTGAGACCTCCAGATTCCGTGGCAAGAGAGACTAGATAGCTAGATAGGCACACGGACCTCTCTTCCTGTCTTTACTCTTCTGCCACTGTGTCTCTCAGATGAAGATGAAGCCTCTCTCTCTGCACGCACCAAGAGAGAGAGATGCGGTCCTCTCTTGGCACCTGAGGCAAATGAACCTCTCGCCATCTGCTTCCATCCTTTCGCTAGTCAGTTAGTACTCTATCCTGTCCCTATTCTTACCTAGCCAAAGGGTACTTCTCAAATAAGGAGAGAAGTGTTTCTCTGCTAAACTAGCAAAGTGGCTCTGTGTAGCTTTGTAAGCCGACTAACCTGGTAAAGTGACGCTGCTGCGTTTGTACCTTTATTTCAGCACTCTGCTAACTAGTGGTAACTGGACTAACCACACCAGTTCACCACGATATCTCTTACCTACTGGAGTCCCCTGGCCAGAACCGGGTGAGAGCTCAGCCCAGAAGGTGAGGAGCCTCACCAGGAGGAGGAGGCCAGCGCAGTGCATGGTGAGGCCAGTCCGGGAGTCTTCTCCTCCTCTCCCCGTTCCCTCCGGCATTTATATGCAATAAGGCTGTCAGACACCAGTAGGGCGGGGCGGGGGTTGCACAGAGTTACAGCAGCAAGCCAGCAGAGCAAGGGAGAAGGTAGATGCGGCGGCCGTGTGGAAATATTTCTGGGAAAACCAGAATTGGGCAATAGACTGTTGCAAAGGCCCAAATGTTGGTGCTGAGAATGGGGCAACAGCTGCCCGGTCCTCACAACGCGCAGCTCATAAATCAACGGGAGGGAGATGCGTCAGCACTCACGTTTGTGCCACCTCCAGTCCTTTCAGGAACTGCTGTTTTATTTGGCTCCTTCTGGCAAGGAACTGGATTTCTCCAGGAGCAGCAGGCCCAGACAGGCTGGCACCAAGGTGTCTCCTCTTCTAGGTGTTTCTCTTGGGGTGTTTGGTTAGGGTAGCAGAGTGCTGCCCAGCCACAGAAGCGTGACTCTGGAGTGCAGTAAACAGATCTCCCAAGAGGTGTATGTCAAGGAAAGGTAAACTTGCATGTATTCAAGGAGATCCAGTTCACATCCAGGTCGCAGCCTAAAGGAGACAAAGAAGCCTAATCTAAAGAGGGCTTTCCAAGTCACAAATAGCCACCTTGTCCAGCATCATGGGTGCGGGAGTGTCAGGGCACTGTATCCATGGGAGAGACTTAAGAACACGGGAACATAAGAGAAGCCAGTGTTGGATCAGGCCAGTGGCCCATCCTGTCCAACACTCTGTGTCACACAGTGGCCAAAAAGACCAGGTGCCATCAGGAGGTCCAGCAGTGGGGCCAGGACATGAGAAGCCCTCCCACTGTTGCCCCCCACCCCAATCACCAAGAAGACAGAGCATCCCTTGCCCCAGACCAAGAGTTCCTACCTATACCTTGTGGCTAATAGCCACTGATGGACCTCTGCTCCATATGTTTATCCAATTCCCTCTTTTAAGAACATCAGATAAGCCAATGTTGGATCAGGCCAATGGCCCATCTAGTCCAATACTCTGTCACACAGTGGCCAAAAATACCAGGGGCCCTCAGGAGGTCCAGCAGTGGGGCCAGGACACTAGAAGCTCTCCCACTGTTGCCCCCCCCAAGCACCAAGAAGACAGAGCATCCCTTGCCCCAGACCGAGAGTTCCTACCTATACCTTGTGGCTAATAGCCACTGATGGACCTCTGCTCCACATGTTTATCCAATTCCCTCTTGAAGCCGTCCATGCTTGTAGCCGCCACCGCCTCCTGTGGCAGTGAGTTCCATGTGTTAGTTCCATAAAGCATCCTGGCCTTGTCATGCATCAGGGTAATGAAGCCACCAGGCTTGTGATCGCCCTCCTTGTCCTCTGGGCTCAGCTGGCATCAGTGTCCTGTTAGGAGGAGTCTCCTGGTAAGTGACTCCTCTTCAAGGCCCTCTCTGCTTGCTGGGCTGGCGGTGTGAACCAGTCTCCGGACAGGTGGCCTCCTGTCTAGCAGGTCGAACTAGCCCAAGGATGCTCCCAACCTCTCCCCTAATCTCTCCCCCAAACGTTTGGACCCAGACCAATATGGTGCCACATCGCTCTCCTTTCTGCTTCTGCTTCTCGGAAGTGGTTGGGTGGGAGGGGTCGGAAGGGGAGAGAATGGCTCATGGGGGGGGGGCGCTACCAGCCAGGCAGGACTGTTCCATGGAAGGGCTCTCCCTGGCAGCTGATTGACAGGCCTGGCGGGCATGGCTATTTTTAGCGGGCCTTTGCAGTTTGGGAACTTGACTTCCCCAAAGGAGCAAGTTCAGCATTTTTGCAGGTTTTCTTCAGGCGGCCTCTGTGCAAGTCTCGTCCGGAAAGGTTTATCCTCCAGGGGGATGAAAAGTTTCCAGCACCTCCTCCCAGGGCAGGTGCACGTGGCAAGGGGCCCAATGCTGGGCAGGGGCCCAATCCACAGCGTGCTCTCTACCCAGAAACAGCACCCTCGTGGAGGGCTGGGTCCCTTGGCTACTTCTGCTCCTGGACGATGGTTGCCAATTTTTAAACTGGTCTTTTCTAGCTTTCCCTTTAAAATCAGTTCGATCCACAGCAAATACCAAGAGATGTTATTCGGTTAGGAGGACGGACTCTAATCTGGGAGAACAAGTCTGTAGCTTGGGTGAGCTCCTGAACTCAGGCTTATTGCTGGATAAGCAGGTGGCAACTGTGGCCAGGAGTACCTTTTACCAGGTTTGATCCTTTAGCCAACTGCTGCCTTTCCTAGGCAGGAAAGATCTGGCCACTTAGGTACATGTGGCCTGTGATAACATTTAGATTAAATGACTGCAATGTACTCTACACGGGGCTGCTCTTTAGGGTTGCCAAATTGTTTTCGGCCAGGAGCGGGGGGCTCCCGGCTGGCGTCCGGGGTATGCGTGTCACCCGGATGTGACGTCGCACGCTGGGGGCGGGGCCATGGCCATTTGAGGGGGAAACATGCGCATGCGGGGGTGGGGTTTCCCCGGGCCCGATTTTTGTCGCGTCAAAAATCGGGCCATCAAAGCGGGGGATTCCCCACCCCCTGGCCCCATTTGGCAACCCTATTGGCTACATTGGGGGGGTGTTGCCTAATATGCAAACGAGTTCCTCTACAAAAAGAGCCCTGGCGGGGTACACATCCAATCTCTTCCTCTTCCTCTTCTTCACATGACGGCATCCCTGTGTCTGCCATGAGGATGTGGCCATCAGTTTAATACAATTTGAAAATGCCCTGAAGTCCCAGTCTTGATCAGGCCTGCAACCCCAAGTAGCCATTCAGAGAATATATAATGACAAGAGAAAGACCCGCGAAACTCGCGGGGGCGGGGGTGGGGGAGGAACTCAACAGGCGGAGGAGGAAGAACCCTCCCGTCGGTTCCCCGTCTCCTCCACCCCCGGCTCGCCACCCCCCAGTCTCTCTTCCCCCCC